TTGGTGAAAGATCTTGAGAGTGAGGGATCCAAGTCATGATTTGCAAAATTTCTTTATTAGTTTTTTGATATCTGTAATTTTCTAGCAATCTGTCATTCAGAATACCCTTCTATATAAGAATTTTGGGGGCTGTTTTTTTCAATAGTAATCCGTTTTGATCCTTGGCATTTTAACAATTTCTGAAGATTAATTTCAATCACATTAATCTAGATAGAATTAAACCTCTACCAAGCAGTGGAATTGAAATATTTGCAAATTTCTGCTCTACAATTCAGACAGGAACATCACTACAAACTACAACATTTAATTGTGTGTGTGTGTATAGCTGTTGGTTTCCCCGTTTCCTTTTTTCATAAAGGGTTGTAGTGATGTTCCTGTCTCGTCGCCTTTTCTTTTTTTTTTTGGTGTGTGTATATATATATCTAAATATGTCTGGGTGCTTATGTATTATAATCTGATTGTGTTTTTGTTGTTTTGCGCGTGAGTTTAAGACCACATTCACACACTTTAGAATAAAAATATATATACATGTATTGTCAAATGACCGGATATATTGTAGCGTCTTGTCGAACGTAATTTCAATGAAGAAATAAATTGAATAAACATATATATATTTTTTTTTTTCAATAATTTTGTAGTTTTTAAACTTAATAGTGATTAAATTTGGATTTTAAAATTGCCAGTTTTTAATTTTAATATTAAATTTTATCATATAATTTTATAATTATTGGTTAGTATAAATTATTTTTAATATTACACGTATTTTAAAGATCTGAATAGCTATTATAACATGATTTCGTTGTCAAGCTTTTGAATCTTTCTATACTTGGTTTTTGATTGGTTATTCTAGCTTTTGTAACAATGTTTCCCCCTAGTGTAGGATCGTTAATTAATCTGAAACTTTTAAAACCATTTATTTTATCTTCAACATCATCACTTGATAAGACACCGAGTGTGTTGAAACAAAATGGCTATTTTTGTAGTGATTTTATAACATACTTATGTTATAATTTTTTTATAAATAATAATTATATATATATATATATATATATATATTCCTACTACTTGAAGATTATGCATGCACATGAAATTAACAGTATTGGGATAACTGAAGATCAAATAAAGTTCATTTTTTTATATTGAGAGGATGTTACTGTTCTCCATTTTCGGCCTGGCCTGGTTTTTGAAAAGATAGAGGATAGCGGGAGAAATTAGGTACTTATTAGAATGGTACAGGGAACCAACAATTTTTTTAGCATTGTTTTGTGATAGGTTGTATGTATGAGTTCCACTTTAGATCTAGATTGAGCTCAAGTTCCAATAGGTGCTCAAGGCACAGCGCCTCCCAGAGACAAAACTCATTCATTGTGATAGGTAAAAATCCAGAGTCCTTTCAGTGATGATGGAATGTCACTAGTTTGTTTTTTGAGTCATTGAATGTAACCACTCAGTTTTTTCCCCCATGGAGCTGTTAAAGTTAGGTCAGAAGAAAGACCATCTATAAGTCTATGGTCTATTAGAGTTTTGGAGATGCACCCATATACTTTTATATCTTCAGTATAGATATTAACAAATGAACAGGGTATACTCTTAGGCAGAGCATTTATATAAAGTCAAAAGAGGGTTTGACAGAAGCGAGCATGGGGGGATACCAGCATTGATCACTTGGGCCTCGAAAGACTGACCTTCAGAGATCTACCTGTTAGGAGGGGCATGATAATTGAGAAGGCTCTTCCAGTGATTCCATAGCTAGAGAGCTTGTGCAGTAATCCTCTATGCCACACTTTGTCAAAAGCCTTTGAAATATCTAATGCTATAGTCCTTGAGATGTATTTGTTGTCTAGTGTCTCACTCATTATGTGAGTAATGACAGATTATTGTGTGTCTGTGTAGGATGTATAATATCTAAAACAAAAGTGAAGATAATCAAGGTGGAATTTTTTTTTTTTTTTATCAAAGACACATTTCTGCCACCAGAGAAAATGTGTGTTCTCTTTGGCTTCTTCAGTTTGATAATGAAAGAAAGACAAAAAAAACTTTGTGAGGAAAAACTGTCTTGGGATCTCTGAAGACAAAATGGCATCATAGATCAAATTTATTGCCTCAGCTTATCACTTCATGATTTAGATTCTCTTTAAATTATGAGATGATGAGCTGGGGCAATAAACTTGACCTACATGCTGATTTCTGCATATATAGGTGCCCATACATGACATTATCAGAAAATAAGAGTGGTAACTATAGTAAATTTAAAGCCATAAAGTATCTAAGATTCAATAAAATGTTAGACTATGCAGAATATTTTCTTTAATTTTTAAGATGAGTACTTAAAAATGATATATAAAAGATACTCATGCTATATTCAATTATTTTTTAGGGTTAAAGCCCCACTAGAAAAACATTTGATAAATATAAATCTGTCATAAAGCTGTCAAACATGTCAACAGCTTAAATGAACAGCTACTGCTCTGTTAAAAAACTTCATAACTCATAAGAAAGATGCCTATAAATTAATTAGATACCATTTCTTATGTTATTTTATCTCACTCTCAACAGTCTTATTTTAATTTTTTTATAATATAATTTTCCATAAAGCATCATAAAAATAAAGGTGAAAGCTAAGTACCAAAAAAAATTAGAGCACTGAAAGTTTTCTGTTAAAATAACGAGGTTAATAAGTTGGTTCACTTAAAACTAAATAATTATGTCACTTTTGTCCTTCTGTATGATAACTTTCCCTCACATAAGATGTGATGAAATCATCACTCATCACTTGTCACCATTGTTAAGACCTGCTTTCTGTTTATTTTAAACTACATTTTTTTTCAGCGCCGAAAGTAAGTAATGTTGGGTTCAAAATATATTAAATACACTTTATAATTTATAATTTTCTTAAAATAAATTTTGAAAAAAGTATTATTGATTTTTGAAAGATTTTCAAACAAAGAATTTCACTTTTGTTTACAAAATTGTAAAGATGGTTGACATGATCGATTTCGTGTCAATTTTGCTGACTAAAAAAAAACAAGATTTTTAACAAAAATTTCAGACGTGCGAGAAACTATTAAAAAAAGGTAAAAAAAATAATCAAAAAATACTTTGATCTTTCCTCTTAATAACTTTTCATCAAGTTTAAGGCCCTTTTTCATCATGCTATGCTTTTTTTTAGCAAAATTTTTCGACAGTTTCAAAACAATTTTGTCTACCAAATTTTATTACATGTGATGTGGTTTTCAGGCACTTCCCAATGGTGCTGAACGCTGTGAACGTCTACCTCTGACAAATAGACAACAGTGGAATTTGAACCCGGGATCTCACACTCGGAGCACTTAATCCCTCAGATATCACACATACACACAGAAAATACCTCGATATTAAAAAAAGATTTGATATTTATTTGGTCAATTGGTAAAATTTTAGGAAGTGGGTTGTGCCAAAAACTTTGTCAGCTTTCTCTCTCTCTCTAGAGAAAGAAAGAGAGAGAGAGTGTGTGTGTGTGTGTGTGTGTGTGTGTGTGTGTGTGTGTGTGTGTGTGTATAATCCTGATGTCAGTCAAAAAATGCTTTCAATTTTTCAAATATTCCGTGAGTTTGGATTTATTTGAGAAATGATCAATACATTATTTGCTTATAACAAGAGATGGCAAAATAAAATAAAAAAAATAATACCTAGGCTAGAAATTTAATTCACATGACAGTGAGTAAAAGAAAGTTTAACAAACACTTGACTAAAAAAAAAAAACAGAACAATGGACGAAATTTGTCACTAATGACTAATTAATGTAGTAACGTTTTAACAACAAGATTTCAATTCAAAAAAGCGTAAAAAAAGATAAAAGTTTAATGAATGTTCACAATCATTTGTGAAATTACTAAAAACATCAATTTTTTTTTGTTTTTGTTTTTTTAGACTAGGGTTGTAAAAAAATTAATGTTTTAAAATTAAATTAAATATTTAAGGACAAAAATATAAAAAAATATATTCACTTAAAATTTCAATTAAAAACCGTTTTTATGAGCGTGAATCAACGAGGCGCATCCTTTTTTTTATTCCTAACGCTGTGTTCAGTACGCAAGTTTTATTAAGCTATGTTCTTACACTCAATCAAAATTAAGTTGAAATTAATTTTAAATTAAATAATAATACGATCTTGATTCAGTTAAGAACTTAAGACAGATTACAATAAAAAGGGACAAAACTTTATTTCAGAGTTAGCAATACAAAGGTTCGTTAGAGGTACCTTTTTTTTTAGTTTATGTTGTAGAATGTATTGTAGAGTTTTTAGAAAAATGTTTTTTTTTTAGAATATGGAATAATGGTCGGAAGTCTCTTTTTGTTTGTTTAATTTCCTTCGAGTCGTTAACTTCGTTTTCTTTAATTTATTTCTTTACCATTTTTTATTTTTTCATTAACATTTACAAAAATTTCGTTCTGTCGATGCTTTATCCTTTTTTTTCCAATAAATTACATAACTTTTAGTTTTAAACTTTGTTGGCTTTATTTTCAAAATCACAAAAAATGAAACTTTCAAAATAAAATAGACAAGAAAAGACAAAGTTTTTTTTAGAGTTTTATCGCTCTTTTAATACTTTACTAATTACTTATAATTTCATAAAACTAAAAAAGTTATCTGATATTTTTAATCCTTGTCTTAAATATTTAAAAAAAAAGAAAAAGAAACGCAGCTTCTTCGGATGGACAATCCTCCTTGGCCCTGAATTGCTTGTGAGCTTTTTATCTGATTTCTCACTGATTATTGTTGTTCAAAACAAGATAAAAAAATTTCAAATCTTGTTAAGCCAATCTCTTCCACTGTGAATATTGGTGCAACACAATCTTCCTACACCTATTTGACATATTTTAAAAACAAATACCGAGACATCTAATTCCTTAAAAAAAAAAAAAATGACGAAGGGAGGTAACTAGTATTTCTTCCCTAATCACCATTCCGACGGAAACAACATAAACAAGACAAGCATCACTTAGAAAATGTTTCTTACTTGGTATCGGCCCGACATAAGCTGACTTCGAGTTGGGGTACATATTGGTTGGACATAGTAGTTCTCAAGCTTCACTCCTTCCGCAGCAAGTCGGTCCAGATTTGGTGTACTAATCTCAGAGTTGTGATAGCCGATGTCGTGATAGCCGTAATCATCAGCAAGGATAAACAACACGTTTGGTTGTTGGAGTTTCCCCGATGGCTGAGCCTGGCATCGGTTTAGGCCAAGCATGAATATTATAATTACTATTAGAAGTAGAAGGCGTAATAAAGCCATATGCATAGCTTGATTTAACTCAGTTTTTTATTAGTTTATAAGCTGATCATAATAATACGATGTTTTCAAGAAACGGCTGTCACTTCGCTACTGCGCGTACAGCGCTTGTCTTATAAACTCATAAAACGAGGCCACGTGACAACTTCCTTTCTAAAACCCCCTTCCTTAAGTTATAACATATCACATTATAAAATATTATATCATATATCACATAACATATATGTATCACATGATATATATTATTACATATCACATAAGAATATTTCTATCCACACATACACATATCACATATTTAACACATATATCACAATTAATATATATATCATATATATCACCTATATTCTATCCACACACACACACACACATAAAATATCACATATTTAACACATATATCACAATTAATATCACATAATATATATATCACATATATCTTATATATCACCTATGATATAATTATTACATTATATAATACATATCTCTGCTGTTCCCTTTTTTTTAAACTTATTCACCATTTTCTTGATGGTTCTTGCTTGAATGAACTTTGAAGATAAAAGCCAGATTATGAAGTATTACTGAAGGCCTGAATGATCTTTTTCATCTCACCATAGCTTAGTTGAGAAGACATAGTGGTGTTAACACAAAATGATTTTAACCTGTTTTTTTTCTAGCTGAATAAGGGTTTTTCAGTGATTCTTACAACAAATGGTGTCAAGATGGCTAAACGTCTTGTCCGAAAACCTGGAAAAAAGAAACTCTATTAGTTTAGTGGTTTTTTTTATATTAAACATTTTGTAGGATGGACAATTATTCCATGGTGCTAAACGATTTGGACAATTTGGCTGTTACACCCGGTATATCACATATGATAAATATAAGGCATATATCATATATAACATAATATATATTATATATCACATAATGTACATATATCATATATATATATATACATATATATATATATATATATATATATATATATATATATATATATATATATATAATAAATAAATATATATATATATATAAGGTATATATAAATTATATATCACATAATATAAGGTATATATATATATATATATATATATATATATATATATATATATATATATATATATATATATATACTAACTTTAAATTACTAGGATTTAAGCTTGAAATTTCTTCTAACCTTAAAATAGTTAATTATCTAGATATCACCCTTAACCTTAATGATAAAACCTTTAAACCTTACCATAACGAGAATGAAACCCCCAACTATATTAATGTTAGTTCTAACCATCCCAATGCTAATATAAAATAAATTATCTTATCTAACCCCTATAAGTAGCACTAAAACATCTAAAGCGGAATACAGGCATAGAAATAGAAAAAGAAAAATTATATGGTTCAATGCCTCTTTCTGCAAACTGCCAAATATTAATATCAGACAGCACTTTCTAAAGTTAATAAATAAACATTTTCACAAAAACAACCCTCTAAGTAAGTTTTATGTACTCCTTTTTGATCAACATTTTTTTTAATTTTTGTTTTTGTTTTGGTCTTTTTGTTTTTTAAAGAATTCTGGGCATAGTTTGGTTTTCTTAATAATTTAACTTATCCTTAAAGTTATAAATGGATAATTTATTCTATCTTTAAATTGTTTTATCTTTAAATTCTTTATTCCTTAATAATATAAAACCTTTAAATATATTATTTCTTTACATGAATTGTCTAAATACGATTTATTGTTAATCTGGTTAGTATATCTCTTTTTTTAAGTATAATTTGGTATTTTCTAGTGGGAACCTAAACTCTTTATATATCACTAAAGGTTTTGTTTGTATACAAGCTCCCTTTTTGGCCCTCTTTAATTTCAGTTCAACACCTCGTTCTACATATAAACCCAATTTAGAGTCATAAGGTTAATATCCAGGTAGCAAGCCTCTTCCCTTTTTTAGAAAGACACCTTCCATCCTCCCCTCACCACCAACTCAGGCATTTTATCTGGTTGAGGCATCGATTTGGGTAGGTTCAGTATCAATTTCTCAACAACTAAGTTAAATTTGAAATCTCTGATTCCAATAAGAATATAGTCCATTCTCCAGGGTTGAATAAGGCCAATGCACTTAGCACTGGTTGAAATAAATTTAAATGAAACGGGGTAATTTTGCAATGTAATACACACACACACACACATATATATATATATATATAAATAATCTCACATAACATATATCTATATAATAAATGTGAATGTCAGTGTGTTACTGCATCATGCTTTTCCAACTTTTACTCCTAAAGGCCATAGCCCAAGATATCATACCATTTTGGAATCAGTCCAACTTTGTGAGCAAATTGAAATCCTGAAATTTTGGATTACCAAATTTTCATTACTGTGATTGTTTTTGACTAATTTATTACATCATTTTTTGCAAAAATTTTTTTTTACAATAACAATTTTCATAAATTGGAAAATAAATTTGGGAATAATCAAAATTGTGAAATCCAGTAAAAGTCACCCATGAAATAAAATAATTGTTTGTATAGAAAGTAAGGACCTATGCACACCAAATTGTCAGTAAATTCACTGGTGTCAGAAGAATTATCATTGAACTTTTAAAAGGTAAGCTTAAATATTAATGCAATACTTAAATGCAGCAATCAATTTTGAGTTCATCTGTAGTTTATTGTTGCCTATTGCATCTGCACCTCCCTACCTATTGGGATGAAGGTTTAATCATGATCTTTTCGCAGGAGCTAGCTTAATTGCTGCCAGATAGGGCGGCTTTTATACTAGTATATATATATATATATATATATATATATATATATATAACATATATTGTTATATATGACAATGTCTATTATGCCTGATCATGAGCCATTCTAATGTTTGTATGTTTGCTTTAATTTTGGGTTAAAATAAAGACAAAAATTGTCCAACATTTGGATATTTTTTATTAAGTTGGTCCTTGATCTAAGCTTTTGGCTCATGAGTCATCTGCAGAGTGGTTATACAAATATTTTAACAAAGATATTCACCATCAAAGATAATATTTTGTTATGTTGACATAGAAGATTGCTATGCGATGATAAGTCATGGAATAGCAGACAAAAGTTGTAAATTCAAAATGCAGTTCTATGACATCCTACCATGCAAGAGGCTGAAATATTAACAACAGAACCATACATCTAAATGCAATGTAATGTGTTGTGATTAGTTTGAAATGTAATTTTGTTGAGTGTGGTTTGCTTTGTTTTAATGTAGATGGCCTCCAATATTTGAAGGTTCTTTTTACTGTGTGTATGCGTATCATTGTGTTAGCAACTAATATCTCTCTAATATTATGTACATGGCTATGTTTTTCTAAGAAATGTTGTTTAATAGAACTAAGATCAGAAAGGTGACAGATAAGTCTATAGGAGAGTGTGGTTGTAGTAAAACCAATATATATATATATATATATATATATATATATAGTGGGTTTATTATTAGTATCAGAGATACAAACTCTAAACAGGCATATAAATTGATACACTAGATTGTTTTTTGTAAAGGATTTAGTTGTGCATTTGTAGGCTTATTAGAGACTATGAGATCAATTATTTTAAATTTTTTATAAGATATGATGAGCTTAACTTATTATTAATGGGTTTAACATTTCTACCTATTATGTTTTTGAGTGTTGTTTCATCATGTTTATAATTATTATGCATTTGTTTACGATAGTATAAGTTAATAGTGCTATGTTTATTTTGATGCACACTATTATTATTACCAATTTTGTTAGAGGTATTATTAGGTTTATTGAGATACATTTTACCTTGTTGTTCAATGATGTTATTAGGAAATACATTATTAACAAATGTTTAACGTTATGTAATTTTTTATAGAATATCTCACATATATATATCATATATATATATATTACATGTGACATATATACGTATTACATAATATATACATATATCAGATAAGTATGCATATATCACATAATATATATAATCACAATATATATGTATTACACACATATATATACAATCACAATATATATGTATTACACACATATATATATACAATCACAATATATATATTACACATATATATACAATCACAATATATATGTATTACACACATATATATATACAATCACAATATATATGTATTACATATATATATACAATCACAATATATATGTATTACACATATATATACAATCACAATATATGTATTACACACATATATATATAAATCACAATATATATGTATTACACATATATATACAATCACAATATATATGTATTACACACATATATATACAATCACAATATATATGTATTACACATATATATACATATATAATCACAACATAAAAGCTGTCTGTGTGCAATCTGTGAAGTTAAGCTTCAAGATAGGACATCTAACGTAGACCTGTTTAACAGGCGTAATATTGGAGGAATCAAGACTTTTATCATACAGTCTCAGTTACGGTGGACAGGTCATGTCTTGAGAATGTCTGATGACAGGATATCCAAGATCCTAATGTACAGCCAGTTAGATCAGGACTACAGGAATGTAGGATGCCCATGGCTAAGATACAAATACAAGCTGAAAAGCAACTAATCAGCAGTCAATATACCACATAAAACCATTGAATGCTTAGCTTTGGAGCGGGTAGAATGGAGATCAATGTGTTTTAGTGGACTCAGCAATTTTCAATCTGCTTGTCTGAATCATCTTCAAGAAATGAGAGCAAGATCTAAAAGGTCAGCCAATCTAACAGTGATCTCATCTCACAATCCTCACACTTGCTCCATATGTGGGCTCCTTTGTAAATCACTAGCGGGTCTTAAATGCCACTTAAGATTAACGCATAAACTTTCATAACTGAATCAATAAGCTGTCAGATCCTCATACGTCGAAACTGATGGGAGAGTCCATTATTATTATTATATATATATATATATATATATAT